TCATAGCTGGCTCTATAGACAAAAGAGGAAATGCAAATCTTAGGTGCTTGTTTGAGCTAATCAGGTCAACCTCTCACATATTGTTTATCTGAACTTCCAGGTTTACTCCTCTGGGGGTGCAACAAAGAGGTCTGAAAGGATGTTGGGCAATTCCTATTGTGGCTAATGGCTTTCGTCCTGTGTTGGATCTTGGATGAGAAGCTGCTTCTAATCCTATTTGCTTTTGTTAGCTGTCAAACTTTGCTGCAAGCAGTTTCAAAATATCCTGTCTTGAATGGATTTCTGCCTGCAGTATTTGCTTTGCTTATGAATAGTGTGTCAACTCATAAAACATTCCTATGCCTGTTTTAGTAGTTGCCATAAAAAAAGGGGGAGGGGGAGGAAGGAAATCTGGAAAAGTAGTGCAGCAGTTTGAAAGTGAAAGTACATTCCAACTCTTACCTTTATAAGATTGTAAACAAAATACCAGAGCTTTTGCCCACTGATATATTTAACGTGAATGATGACACCCAGCTCGTGAACATGCTCAATTGGAGAATCTGGTTTATGAGATACCCAGGATAGAAGGAGGAAAGAGGATCACAGGTGACTGTAAATTACGCATGCCAGAGTTGGCTTCATACAGGGCAGTGCCAGTATGTCATCTCTAATGAATCCTTTGAAGTTTTTTGAAGTTTGGCTCAAGAATCATGATTTAATTAGAGTGATTGCTGGAATCCTGTGCCATCTAGATTGGCGGTCGCCAACTGATGGGCCGCAGCCCACTGGTGGGCTGTGAGAAAATTTTGGTGGGTCGCAGAGAAATCTTACCCCCAGAGCAACCCCCAAAGCAATTAATCCAGGCTGCACAAAAACAAGGCTGCGCCGCCCACATGGCCTGCGGGAACCCTCCCCGCCCACTCACTCCTTACCCAGCAAACTTGCCTGCTAATTTGCTATTTTTCTGACCATCAGCTGTGAGATTTAGATTAGCTAGGAAGCAGGAAATGGTTGGATTTCTTGCTTTCTAGCTAGTCTTTAGATCTTCGGCTCTGCTTTTAAGTACAGCCAAACTTCCTTTAGAACTGAAGGTTCTATTGTTCAGTGCAGACTCATGGCAAGCAAATTTTATGTGACAGACTGAGCTAGCCGATGGTAGATAGATAGATATCTGAATACATCTGTGATTCTGAGCAACTCAATCTGCCTTCCTGCTTTGTCTGATTTTCGGTAAAAGTTGCTCTTTTTTATTAAAAAAAATCAATATTTATATAAATATTTACAATATTTACATACAAGCCAGCCTAACCAGTCACATGACCACCAAGCCACACCCACAAATTAGGCCATGCCCACAGAACTGGTTAGTGGTCCCTGGAATCTAAAATTATGAGTTTGGTGGTCCCTGAGGTCCAAAAGGTTGGCAACCCCTGATCTAGATAGTTGGTTTCTTTCAATAAGCTTTTTATCTCTTAAGTGCTGACATCCACTGTGAGCTATTAAGAAAAAGTGGGGACTGCTTTCTGCCTCTAAAAAATGTTTTCCATTTCTCCCTTTGGGGAAAGATAATATTCTGCCTTTTTAATATTCCTAAAAATATTTCATTCTTGGGGGGGGGGGGGGCTTCCCACACCCTGTATCTATACAAGTAGCATCTAAATGAGAGATCCTTCCATTCCAAAGCATTCATATTGCAGTTGTATTTTCCAACCAATTGTTTTAAAGCAAATGTGGATTAAAACAAACAAACTTTCTTTCCATCCTTTTCCATAGTTAGGGGTTGCTGCGGAATGATGATCACCAATAAACAAGTAGTGGCAACTTTTGTGGCAAATATTATGTGGTGCTAGTAGCAGTAAAGCTTCAGGACTACTAGCCCTACACAAAAGCCTATCACACTTTATCCAAATCTTGCCAGAAATTGCTGGGAAATTGTGTTGCTTAGTCTTTGCCATTTTGCCATTGACTTCTGCAGCTCTGAATTCTACAAGTCCAGAAGAATTGATTGCACAAAAGGTGGTTTCAGAGAGAACCACGCATGGCCTACAAATCGTTCATTTATATTCTCTGGTCCCAGAGCAATTAACATGACTACAGTAATGATTGTGTTTACAAAGAAATCAAAACGTTTGGATATAACACATAATTTCATATTGCCATTGCTACATTTGTGGAGGAAGTGAGCAGCTGTGTTGTTTGTTTTAGGTTGTTGCTTTTTAAAAACATCTAGCAAGGGCAAGCATATTTCTGCAGGTAGAACTGAAGATTTAAAAATAAAAAAGGCTAAGGAGTTATTCCTAGTTTTGTAGATACACACTGACATTTTTTCAGCAAGATTTGACTTACATAATCAAACATCTAGAAAGGGAGGACAGCCACATATGGTCTCACCTGCAAATGTTTTCACCATAAATAAAGACAAAAATGTATGATGATGGCTACACTTAATAGTAGCTAATCATAATGTACCCTATACTTCTAGTGTTGAACTCTTCTGAGTAAGGCAGTGTCAAAAGTGTTCACAATCTTAATTTCTCACAGTACTTTAACCCTTAACAAACCTTAATTCAGGGGTCCCCAAATCTTGCAACTTTAAGACTTGTGGATTTCAACTGCCAGCATTCCTTCAGTTTCAGAAGCAGTTTCAAAATATCCTGTTTTGAATGGATTTCTGCCTGCAGTATTTGTTTTGCTTATGAATAGAGCCATCTAGACAGTTGGTTTCTTTTAATATGCTCTTTATCTCTTAAGTGCTAACATCTGCTGTGGGCTATTAAGAAAAAGTGGGGCTCCTTTCTGCCTCTAAAGAACATGTTTCTCCATTTCTCCCTTTGGGGAAATATTCTGCCATTTTCATATTCCTAAAAATATTTCATTCTTCTAGGAGTGGGAGCTTCCCACGCCATTACGTGTGTTTGAAGGAAAAGCAAACTATAAGCCCAACAACCAATGAAAAGGGGAAGCAGACAGGAAAATGAGAAGATAAAATACCACTTGGGATCCAGGAATTAAAAAAAAAAAATCTTCCTCAAGAGAAGACCAAGAAGAAATGTAAAAAGTTCTCACAACCTTAAAAAGAATTCCATGGCTTTAGACCAAGGAAATAGTTTCTGCTTGCTGAATGCCTTTCATTTAGAAGAAGCAATGGCTCTCTCAATTTCCAAACTAGCTGTCCTGTAGCCCCTTTTTCGATTTCTCCAATTTTGAGATCTAAGAACCTAGTGTGGTGCCTGGACCAATCACTTCCATTGAGTTCCTTGTACACCAGAACAAAAGAGCCAAGGGGTCAAAGGTTGCTGTCTAAACTGGGTCATGTGACCGACTATCTCTGGAGCTTGCAACCATCAAACAGTGCTTTCCAAAGCTCCTTCTCTATTCATGTGGAGGTCTGGGTAACCTAGCAACAGCTTCCAGCAGTCCTTTACTTTGTTCAATACTTTTCACTGCCACTGTAGTTTCCTTGTGAAAGCTTCAGATTTTTATATTTGTATTATTATTATTCTTATTAGCTTTCCTTTGGTGGTCAGCCTGGTACAGCCACCCTAGAGAAGCAGTGGTACAGGGTCCACTTCACATCCTCCTAACTCTGCATTACAGACAGTTGCTTCATTTCACCAAATTGTTTGCTCAGCATTGTGCTCCTTCGTGCAAACTTTAGGGGATTTTTTTCCCCCAAACTCTCTCTAAAGCTGCCTAACAAGGCTTTTAATTTATACTGCAATTGGTGGCTGGCTTCATTCGTGGAATTTCACGCTCTTTGTGTGCACTTGTGTGTGTGTGGGAGTCCATTCCAGACAAAATCTTTCATTTGGAATCTTCCCTTTATTTCCCCCCCCTTGCAACCTCTTTGTTTCTTACTGGGGAAAAAAAACTTTATAATGAGGATAAAGAAAAAATGCCTTTCAAAAGGATAAGGAACCCCTTATCTGAAGTGTGCTCTTCACTTGTAGGGTGGTGGAACAATAGCGGCCCAGCATTTTTATACAGTTTGAAATATTCTATGCAGTTTGAATGATTTGCATCCATAGATCAATGAACATTTGCACTGAAAAATAATTCTCAAGAGCAAATGAGACCAGGTTCTTGGAACAGGGGGTTGGATACTTGAAAGGCAACATAATTCAATGTAATAATTAAATGAAAATGGCACAAGTGGAGGGATTATTAGATCCTACCTATTTTGGTTAGAAGGTGTGCTTACCAGAGTCCTTGTGAAAGACTGTGATAGTGCTTGGTACAAACCCAAATGAAAATTAGAAGAGAATGTAGAAGACCATGTAATCATGACTTCAAATCCAAGTTCAGTATTTCCACTTCCAAAGCATTAAGCATCAAGCAACTAATTTGTCAGAGAACAGAGAACAGGAAAAAAAGCATACAGAACTTTTTAAGGCTCTACAAGGCAAGTGATGTGAAACCAAGAAAACAATAGCTTCTTTTCTCATCTCATAAACACTGACTATTAGTTTTCAAGCATTTGACCAAAGCTATTGCACAAACTACCTCAAGCATGTGTATATCAGTGCTCAGAGTTGTTGGGAATAGGGTGGCATCATGCACATTTGATAAACAAATAAGTAAACAAGTAAATAAACAAATAAAATAATTGGATTCACTAGGACAAAAGGGTTTAAAAATTAATTCAGCCATGTCTAGGATGACTTTCGCAATCACTCAGAACTGGAAAAGTCAATATAAATACATTTACCTGCCTTATTATACCCAGCTCTTGAGCTATCCAGGCGGAGGATATAGGGTAAACTATTTTGATGAAGCAAAAAAGTTTAGATATAGATAACAATCTGGGAACACTTTGTATGGCATTCTGCCTGTGTGGTATACAAGTTTACCAAATAAATAGCATAATCCCATCGACTTAAAAAATTCGGTATCCTTGATGATATCGTCCCAACACAAACATAAAGATTATAATTACACAATAGCATTGTGATAGCAGGATTGTATAATAGAACTTCATTTATTATTGCCATTAACATAGTTAACACCCAATAGCACAATAGTACATTAGCATTTATTATACAGTTGTTAGACATTTCCAAAATACAAAATAAAGCTCCATAAGTGACTGATAATCCCATAAAATTTGTTATAGTTAAAGATTAGCACCTCAGTGATTGTAAAGAAAGAAATTATCTGAAGCAGCAGAGCTGTGTACTACAAATGGATCCCCTCTAGTATAGGATGAGGAAGGAGATGTATATTAATGCACAAATCCTATGCAAATGTAGCTTCCACACACCCTTAGTGTCTTCATTATCAAGATTAGTAGTAAATTATGAATCACATAAAGCCCCAGAACTGCACAAAATAACGAATCTTTCATCATTGCCCCACAATCTTTACATTTCATCTGATCTTGTTTGTTTCTGCCCTTATATCAAACCATCCCTTCCGTATTTATCACTAAGCAAGTCTTCTTCTGTACAGTTCCATCCTCCCCACCTTCCTCTTACCCTGCAAGTTCAGCCATTCCAGAAATTCACAAAAAAGTTACACAAGGAATGCCATTTCTCTTCACAATAAGCATCGGCCACATCGGCATTGAGCTCTGTGGGCCGTACAGTGCCTTCCACCACTGCTGTTGTAGGCTCCCTATGGGCTGGACGGGTTGGGGCTGCTGGAGAATTGGGGTTTCCTTTTCTCTTCCCCGCTTTCTTTTCCTTCTTCAAGGCACCGTTCTTTGCTGGCTTGGCGATGATCCTATCTTGGTGCGCTTGTGGTGATCCCTGGGAGGCTAGTAGGTTTTTGTCATGGTTTTTCCCCTTGGGACTTCCTTGAGTGACACTTGCAGTGGCCACTGGGACGTCTGTGCTCGGTGTGGTTTGTACCAGGTGTAGTTGGGCTTCAGGTGTCTCCTTCTTGCTGCTACAAAGCCGGGATTTGAGAGGGCTGGTGTCCTGGCAGGGGTGGTGTTTCCGGCGGAGTTTTCCCAGGATCTGCTTCCAGAACTGACGGCCTTTGGCACTGTAGGCAGCACATAACTCTGGCTGGCCCCGGTAGATACACCTCTGTGGCTCTCCTTCCGCTGGACGACAAGTGATCTGGAGCTCCGTATCCCTTTCTCCAGGGATGAGTTGCCAGCTGCACAGATGCTTGTCACGGGTAGAGAACTGTCCAGACTGAGCCCAAGGGAAAGAAGCTTTTGTTTTTTCACTGTTATCCCTACCCTTCTTGGGAGGGTTGCATTCTAGGCAACTGAGGAAGAGAAGCGTAAGGGGGAATGTTTGGGGCAGCTTCATTTCCTGAAGTCAAGGGAGGTGCTGGCACCCCTCATCCAAGAGCATTTGTGGGAAAAGCTTGGCCAAGGGCTCCTTATTGCCTTACGGGTCCTATGGAGACAGAAATACAATGAGCCATCTGGAACAGGCACCATCAATAAGGATGAGCAGCCACAGCTAATTGCAAACAATGCCTTCTACTGGACCAAGCACATTCTTCCTCCCCAATTTTTCAGCAGAGAACAATTCTGCTTTCCCTAAAAAACAATAAACTGCAACCCCTCCACACACACCCATCAGATGTGGCTAAGATCTACACCAGATGGGGATGGTTGCTCTTACAAAAGCAGATACTTTCGATGGTTATCGGATCAGCCAGGAGCGAGGTTGACTGATTGCTTTAGATTCATAAGGACATTTCATTGGGGGTTCTCATGTATATTAGTGGCATTTTAGCTCAACCCACAGCCAGTAAGTCTCTGCATATTTCACCAAGATAAACATTCTTGGTCTTCTTAAAGAGAATAGTCTGCCTGAATAGAAACACTGCCTTCTACAGCATGAAATTTGTCCTTGCTTTCATCTAATATTAAATGCTCTAAATCCCCCCCTTTTTTAAACAAGCCCAAATGTGATAGCTTGATTTTACAGCGAAAGCCTTTCTGAAACTCCCTTGAAGAAAGGAAAAGTTTCATGATGTTCTTTTCAATCTTGTCTTCTTGACACAATTATCCTTCCTTGCCGATTCTTCCTAGTTCCTACTTTTAACAAAGATCCTGCACATTAGACATCTCTTCCGCAATTCCCACTCTTCTTTCCTGCATTCCCTAACTGCAAAGAAATCTCTGAAACCTGCTGCCTTTCTTAAAATTCCAGCAAGCTGGTGCAGATATGAGCATGAGGTTACTGCTAATTAAATGGGGGAAAGGAAGTTGCTTTCTTATTAAAGAAGCAACAATTTCAAAGACCCAACATGGTCCATATCTCCAGGCACAATGAAGTCCATCATGACACTCAATATTTCCCACTTCCCAAGTTCTTTCTGGCTCCACTTACCTTTGATTGCGAGTGGAAGACAGCTCTACAGGAGAAATACCAGTCTAAGCTCAAGATTAGCCTGTTGGAGGGGCATTCATAGCATGCCTGTGTTATCAAGAGTCCAGGAGGGGCTAACCACAGCCTATGCCCCTCCTCGTGCATTGCAAACACACACACAGACACACACACACAACCACTCAGAGGCAGAGCAAGAGAAGAACCTTGAAAAGCAAACAAAAAGTTGCTTTGTTGGATCCTTGTACATTCAGGTGCCTAAACCATATCAGATAGTTTTATAAACATGATTTTCTGCTCACTGGAGAAATTGTTGCTCTTTGTCCTGTTTAGTTGGTTAGAAAAACATGTATTTGGCACACTCTTTTTCTAAAAGACCTCCTGATTACAATGGAATACAGGTAGTGCTTCACTTAAAACCACAATTGACCCACCAATTTTCTGTTGTTAAGTGAGACATTTGTTAAGAGAGTTTTGCCCCCATTTTATGACTTTTCATGACACAGTTGTTAAGTGAACCACTGAAGTTGGTAAGTTGTTAAGTGAAGCTGGCTTCCCCATTGACTTTGTTTGCCAAAAGGTTGCAAAAGGAGACCCCATGACCTTGGGACACAACCGAGGTCATAAGTATGAACCGGTAGCCAAACATTTGAATTTTGATCACATGATCATTTATTTATTTTATTTATTTGTTTTAGGAAAATTATATTGCCACCTATTCGCATATGGCAACTCAAGGCGGCTTAGAGGAATATAAAAACCTCATATATAAAACAATTAAACTAATAAAAGAGAATAATGGACAACTAACATAAAAAGCATCATCAAAAAAGCACAACAAAGAATGTTCTTCCTGGGCCAACTCAGAAAGCTCAGGCTGCCCAAGGAGCTGCTGATCCAGTTCTACAGAGGAATTATTGAGTCTATTATCTGTACCTCTATAACTGTCTGGTTTGGTTCTGCAACCCAACAAGACAGACACAGACTTCAGAGGATAATTAGGACTGCAGAAAAAACAATTAGTACCCACCTGCCTTCAGTCGAGGACCTGTATACTGCACGAGTCAAAAAGAGGGCTGTGAAAATATTTACAGACCCCTCACATCCCGAACATAAACTGTTTCAACTCCTTCCATCAAAACGACGCTATAGAGCACTGCACCATCAGAACAACTAGACACAAGAACAGTTTTTTTGCCAAAAGCCATTCACTCTGCTAAACAAATAATTCCCTCAACATTGTCCAACTATTTACAAAGTCTGCACTACTATTACTATTCACCTTCTCATCACTCCTTATCACCTATCCCCTCCCACTTGTGACTGTATGACTGTAACTTTGTTGCTTGTATTCCTACGATTTATAGACTGTTTCCTAGTATGATTTGATTGCTTATTGTACCCTATGACTATCATTAAGTGTTGTACCTTATGATTCTTGACTCTTGAAGAATTTATCTTTTCTTTTATGTATACTGAGAGTATTTGCACCAAGACAAATTCCTTGTGTGTCCAATCACACTTGGCCAATAAAGAACTCTACTCTACTCTACTCTACTCTACTCTACTCTACTCTACTCTACTCTACTCTATTCTATTATCACATAATAAATTAATAAAATAATATGATAACCCCCCCACCCCCCACATCACCATCACATGAGCCATTTAATGGGCTCCATCCCGCTCTGGATTCCCCAGGCACACTGGCAGAACCAGGTCTTCAGTGCCTTCCAGAAGAGTGTCAGAGTGGGGGCCATTCTAATCTCTGGGATGATGTTCCAGAGAGAGAGAGGAAGCCACCACAGAGAAGGCCCTTCTTCTGGGTCCCACCAGGTGTATCTCCCTCAGGAAAGGGACCCACAACATTCCTTGCCTCCCCACTCTGGTGGATCGGGTAGATGTTACTGGCAAGAGACAGTCCTTCGGATAACCTGATCTCCAGCTATGAAGGCAGAGGTGGTATTCAGCAGGTTCTGACCAGTTCTGGAGAACCGGTAGCAGAAATTTTGAGTAGTTCGGAGAACCGGCAAATGCCACCTCTGACTGGAGATTTTACAGTATCCTTCCCCTGCCACGCCTACCAAGCCACGCCCAGAGAACTGGTAGTAAAAAAAAATAAATTGAATCCCACCACTGCATGCAGGGCTTTAAAGGTGACAACCAGCACTTTGAATTGCATCATGGGGATGCTACAAAGGCTGTAACTGTGAAAAATGGTCATAAGTCTCTTTTTTCAGTGCCATTGTAATTTTGAACAGTCACTAAATGAACTGTTGTAAGCCACCTGTACTGTAGTTCATCACAGTTGCACTACAGCCCTGTTGCACAGAGAGGGACAGGTGTAGTTATCCCAGGTGTTCAATGGCTGTGCATGGAATCCCCAATGTCCTATCTTCAAATTGGTTATTCTGTAGTTTGAGCTAGGCTGATGAAACGTAAAGACCATTGCTGCCATATAAAGAGTCTTCAATATATAGGTGGTTCTGGAGAAGGTAGCAAGTTTCTTTTTATTCAAACATTTACTTTAAAGGTCACTTAGTATCTGTAATGTAGTATCTACAATGGGGTGTACAGCTCTTTGCATTTCAAAGTGCTTTATCTTTTCCTCACATACAAATATTGCACACACACAGAAAGGGAGAGAGGCTTTTGGTCAGTGTGTTTTGAGGGTCACAATATCTAATAAAAGGAACTAGTGTTCTTCAAAGATGAAAAAAAAATTATCTGCATTGATTAGTTGACACAAACTTTCAAAGCTTCAGTACTGATCCTTGTAAATGAATGAGGAGTTTTGATGTATTTATTTATTCATTCATTGAATCTCTAGGGCGGCCCGTTTCAATCCAATTGATTTTTGAGTGCCAGGAGACATTCTGAACTTGATAAAGCCTCAGTCTGGATCCCACCTGGTACGAACCACGGAGTATGATTGCAGCTGTTCCCCCCACCTAGGAAGTAAAGGGACCTAACAGTAGCAATTTTTAATTTCAACTTTGCAAATTCCCTCTTGGTTTTCTTCTTTTGCCTGGTAGCTTTTAATCTTTATTATCGGGTCACTTTGCAAACCAAAATCAGAATCCAGTTCTGAACTTAATCTTTCTTCAAGCTCAGAGGTTTAATTTCTGTTGTTTGAAATGAAGAAACTTTCTCACAGGGAAAACAATCGACCAATGGGACAGCTTGCCCTCGGAAGTTGTGGGAGCTTCGTCACTGGAGGCTTTCAAGAAGAGATTGGACTGCCATTTGTCAGAAATGGTGTAGGGTCTCCTGCTTAGGCGGGGGGTTGGACTAGATGACCTACAAGGTCCCTTCCAACTCTGATTATCTATATCTGAAGGAGTTTGGGTTATCCATCCACGAATCAATGCTGAGGTTTTCACCATTTTCCATTTCTGTTTCTTTCATGGTCACAACAGCTCTGCATTAGCCACTGAGCAAAATAAGCCCATGTTTAGGGCATCAAAGGAAAAGGGGGCACTTATTCAGTGCTAGATTCAGCTTTAATTCTCAGTACTTAGTTAGTCTTAATATTAACATCTTTCTATCCTGTTCTATCCTTTAAAAAATAGCTTACCGAAAACAAATGTTTAAACTAAAAGTCTGTAGAGATTCTCAGCCATTCAGGTCATGGTTGTCCCAAAGGTGCTATTTCAGGAGGCAACTGGACTTTATTTTTTTCTTTTGAAAACATTTCGCTTCTCATCCAAGAAGCTTCTTCAACTCTGACAGGATAGTGGGGAATGGAGGAGGATTTATATTCCTTGCAGTCAGCTGGTCATTTAGAAGCTTCTTGGATGAGAAGCATGCAGGGGGAAAAAATGGCTTGTGCCCAAACCAAGTACAAATGTGTGAGCCATGAGTGTAACGTCAAGAGCAGGAAATCAGGAGTCCAGGCAGTTCAAATGAGTATAGGTTTATTGTAAGCTAATGGCCTCTACAAGAATCTGATCTACTAACGGTCAAAGCAAATTGGCAGCAGATAAGAGCCAATGGAATTCAAGGTGGGTGGGACTTAGATCTCTTGTGGGAATGAAG